CAGATCTTGAGTGTCTGGATTAATGTGTCTCCATCTCACCGAGTCAGTGCTGTGAAGCTGGGATCCAGCCACCTGTCAGCAAGGGTAACCAGTCCCCTATATTAAACCAGAGGATACATAAAAATCTTTGCCAAAACACCTAATTCTCACTTTTTCCTGGCTGTGTGAAGCTCTTTGGCTTCATCTAACCTGCACAGTAGGTGAGAGGTACAAACTCAAATGTGCCTGAAAGGCAATCTGATTAGCCATTTTTCAGAACACAAAGGCGAGCGGATAGAAAATATCCACGCTAGAATTATTACAAACTAAAGAGGTGGGGGCAGTTTATTTCAGCGACATGATTAGCTTCTTTCACAGAGCAAAAGATAGAAAACATAATTACGGGATAACAAAAAGACGGAGATTAAGTCCCCCGAGCCGCAGCCGTGTGCTTACATTATAATTAGAGATGGCTTAGCAAATAAGCCTGTGGGGGAACAGAAGACCCCGCCTGCAGTCTGGGAGACCCTTCGCAGCAAGCTACTGTTCCACAGTTTGGAAGGTCAGAGAGGGCAGCCATTTTTAACGGAATGTCAGGTGCCTTTAGTTTATGTTGTCATATATGGGGGCTTAATGAAAACGTCCCTGCTTGAACACAGCCGAAGCATAAAGGTCAAGATGCCCAGAAGCGCTCATTGCTCTATTGATCTCAGTTGTTGTAATCACACTGTAAACTATCCTGCCATGCTGGAGTCCATTTTACACATCAGCAATGATGAAGAGCACCTCTGGGTCCATCTGCCTCCTGTTCCCCCCCCAGCGTTTCCAGGTGATCCCATCTCATCCCCTGGCTTCTTTCCATGACCAGCAGCTGCTGATGGGACTCCCAATCCCCGGCCCAGGAGCCCGTTGCCAGGGACTACAAAAGGGCACCTCCACATCCACGCCTGTAGTTGCCATGGAAATCTGGAGTTTGGGCCTTCTTCCGCCTGCAGATGGCGACCCCGCACTCCGCTCTGGCTCTGCTCGGGGAAGAGAGAGGTGAAGCGGGGTGCAAGTGGCAGAGCGCTAGCTCAGTGTCAGGGCTTTGCACATTTAAATGCGTCTCCTCCGAGCGCTGCAGCAGCAGCTTTTGATTACATGCGAGTCAGGTGGAGATTCCCTGCAGGCATGTTGGGGAGAGGATGGGGGTGGCTGCTGTCTGCCTGCCAGTCACTGTTCTGCTATGCATCACTTCCAGATGTGCAAAGCTTATTCATGCGTTTTACAATGAAGATCTGGTTTTCTTTGCTAAATCTCATAAGTGCTGAAATGAAGCTAAGTAAAATGGGTCACATCTGGTGCAACATGTTTTCTATTATTGCAGGGTTCATGAAAGTCCTTTACTGTCTTCTTTGGTTGAATTTAGGGCTGGTGCACCGATTGGAGTTTTCTGGCCAATCCCTGATCACCGATCTTTAAAAAGCCTGACCTGCTGATTCCGATTTTGGAGAAATACCTTTTTTTTTGTTTGAAATGTTGCTAAATATAGCAAGAAAGTTGCTGAGTTGGCAAAAGTGGGGTGACTATTGTTAACTGCAAACGTGCAGACATGACCGGGTGGGTTTGGCAAATAGTCAAACTTCTCTGATCGCAGAGCAAAGTGGACAGTGGTTCATTCTCAGACCTTTGTTGAGATCGATAAGATGGCTTCAAATATAAGTATCGGCTGATAACCTGCCTTCCAAAATTAAGGAAATTTGCGCCAATTTCCTGAATTTTGGGAGGAAATCCCAAAATTTGGCAATTATCTCAATAATCAACTCATCACAATTAACCTCTTCAGGAGGTTAATTGTGATGACCTCAGGACCTCTCTCTGTTGTATTTCTCATTTCCCTTTTCTTTGTCAACTCCATGTCAGATTTGACAGACGTCTACCTAAATCAGACTGCACATCCAGGTTTGCCTCATCTTTAACATCTCAGAGGATCCGTGATCATTCTCCATTCTGCCGAGACGGATAATCGTAGACCCGCTCCCATGGATTCACCTGCTGGGATCAGTTTGCAGTATTTCTCACCAGGACGAGAAATACTGCAAACTGCAGCCGGTTCCCTGAAACCAAAAAGAAACGGTCCGACTCCTATTCAGGAAACATCTGCCGCAGTCTGGATGCTCATCGTCTGAGAAGTTTCTCACTCTGCTGCCGCTTGTGTCTCCCGTTCAACAGTTTCAGTACCCTGCACAAGTGTTAATTCCTCTTGACCTCATTCACATTACAAATACACACTTTGACATATTTAATTAAGATTTTATGTGATATAATAACCCGAATTAGGTCATATTTATAAAATGGAGGTGCGTTTATTTCCAGTTTTCTGAGTCATTACGTCTGCTGTAAATTTTTGTCTCCACCTGCTTTGCACATATACAGACCAAAATGTTAGCCGATTCATCATAGCTTATTCAGATTGGATGAAGAGCAGTTTTCAAATGTTGCAACAGAGTCTCATTTGGATTTTTGTTTGACCTTTGACCATGCCTCTGTACCTGTATCCTCTGGACATAGTGGAACAGGAGTGTGGCTATCTTCTTGACCAGTCAACAGATGCTCTAACCTGAGTCTATCCTTTATCTGAGAAGTTCAAACCTTGGGATGTTGTTCTTAATTTCTCCACACCTTTATCCCTGACCCATATCCGCTCCCTGATCTTCGTAATGCTGTTTTGTCTCCAGCAAACCTCTGAGGTCTTCACGGAACATCTGGACTCACACTGATTGCTTACTCTAAAAAACCCCCCCATTTTAACAGCAAAAAATGTGAAAAGGTTTAAGGGCTGTGAATACTCCTGAAAAACGCTTGATTCAAAGAGTTCAGTTCTGAAAAAAGGAGCCACTGCTTCGGATGAAAGCGGCTGTAATGAGCTGCTTTATGCTGGCAGCCTGGCATCTAATTACATCCTACAGGCTGCTGTGTGTGAAACGCAGTCAAATGCCGCCAGATATTTAACTAATTCAGCCGCTCAGATCCGGAGTGGGACCCACCGGGCCGCCGCACGCCGCGGAGCAGCGGTGGGTTTTCACTCATTTCTTCAGCACACAGTGTTCCGCAAAAGTCTGGAGTCACACAGGGACGAGGCAGCTGAGGAATTATTAAAGACAGGCAGGAATCTGGATCAGCGTGACGTGGACACGGCGTGTCTGTGACGACTGAGCACAAGTTTAGAGTCGGCGTGTAGTTTTAACTCCTCTTCATAAGCGTCATGATTATGGTCATGACTAGTATGCTTTTAAAATGTGATGCGTTTTGTCTCGCGAATTCCGCTACAAAGGCTTCACTCGCTCGTTAATTTTTAGCCAATAGATTTCTGAGGCGTTGAAGGACTGTCGGAAATGATGACTTCACACAAAAAATTGTCTTCCCCCCTTCCTCCATTTCATTTTGTCGTTAAAGAAGACACTTAGGGGCATAAAAGATCGACAAATCGTGAACATATTCCGTTTGCTTCATTTCATAAAAAACATTTTCCAGTTCTTGCTTGTGCAGCTGTAAATTTGATATGTAGTGTCACTTTATTCATATCCAATTTTTTTTATCTGTCACATGATTACAGTAATAAGAGATGCTTTACATCCAATTTAAATGATGACAAGAAGTCTGTTTCTTTGGTTGGAAAATAAAAACACAATGACAATTTGAAGACATTTTGAAGTTTGAAGCCAGCTGTATTTAAAAATACCCTATAAATGCTCAGAACTTTTAAGAAATTAAATAAATGAATATCAAACAAGGTGTAAATAATTGTACAAAAACGCTATGTTGTACTGAAGAATCCTGTAATTTAATCCATTAATTCAGTAGGAAAGTTAACAATGATTGACATCTGTTATCGATTTCCATGTGCCACCTTGTCTCTTTTTTTAGGTGTTTAGATGACATTATTTCCAAAGGTAGATTCCTAGATATAATGTCTATACTGAATTTTATATTCAAAACAAACATATATTGAAAGTTAACTTTATTTGTTTGTCCCAGTATTTCTTTTTTTATCTAGCAACACCCCTGGATGTAGAGGAGGAATTAATGCAGATCGTTAGTGTGGTAGAAAAGGATAATTAACACAAGAAATATGGAGGCAAATTATCAATTTATCAGTTACAATATGCTCATGTAGTATTCTCATTTCAGTTAAATTTCTCTATTTTTTATGTGTGCTGTTTGTTTATTTAGTCTGGGTATATATCCCATTAAGTTCAATTTGCATACCATTTATATAAGTTCAATATAAACAGGAGCATTCAGATTTGTCGTTTTTTAATATGACTGTTTAAATTAGCCTTTTAAAATACGAACAGTGATAAATTCCGAGCTTCATTTGGATACCTTTAACGCAGCTCGGCTCAGCTCAGTTGTGAGATCAGCTGATTCTACGCTGCCATTTTGTCCGGCAGAGCAGCAGTCAGTCAGTCAGTCCGTGCGGAGAAAGCTGTGAAGAGACTTCCCAGACAGCGTCACCGGACTGTTGGAGTGGGGGGAAAACACCCAGTAATGTGGTTGTAGCATCCGGAAAACAGCACCAGCCGAAGGGAAAGGACCGAGCCAAAGGAGCTGTCATTTTCAACTTACCGGGTCCGCCGGCTGGGCTCGGCAGCGCTCGACTCGACTCGGCTCGCTCTCTGCTTGGCTAATCTCTTTAGCTCTTCGGCTAGCTTCTCGCACCTTGAGGAGGAGGAAGAAGGGGAAACTGCGCTTTTCCTGGCTGTCATTGTTGCAGTAACCTCTGACAAACTTTGAATAATGCTCTCTTTAATTTCTTCTTACTTTCCCCACCGGAGCGGGCTCCAAACAGGCACTTTACTCGGGAAGCAGTGATAGCTTTAACAGCCGAGCTAACAAGTTGACGTGGAGGAGGAACTCAAGTTTTTCTTTCTTTTTTTTTTCTTTTTTTTTTCATTTTTTCTTCAAAGCTTTGATTTTTTTTTTTTTTTTTTTTTTTTTTTTTTTTTTTAAAAATTTTTTTTTTTTTTTTTTTTTTTTTTTTTTTTTTCATTTTACACGGATTACTTCTTTTTCTGCCAAACCGGACCCGGACTTGTCGCTTCTGGTGACTTAAAACAAAGAATTCGGGTTTTGAAGCAGCCTGTTAGCTATGTTTATTTGTGGCCAGAAAGTGATTTCAAGTGTTTCCAGATACCACTGTGGGACTCTTTCCTGGTTCGAGTACTGCAACGGAAACATTAGCTAACACACACTAGCCCACAACAGCGTCCTTCTGCTTTATTTATTTCACAAATACAAGGAATTAACTTTTCTTCTTCTCCCGTTTTTGCCACCCAGACAACTTATCTCCAAAGATAAACTGCTGGTTAAGTCAAATCGGTTTTACAGCAGCAGTGATCCGGAGCTTTGTCTGAAGTTTAAAGTTCTGTCCTGGATTGGAGCCGATCCATTGATTGGGTCGTTGTTCTGTCTGATTGAGTTGAGGGGGGAAAGAAACAACAGCGATGTCGGGCCAGTCTATTACGGATCGGATCGCTGCGGCGCAGCACAGCATGACGGGCTCTGCCATCAGCAAGGCGGTGTGCAAAGCCACCACACACGAAGTGAGCGGACCTAAGAAGAAGCACCTAGACTGTGAGTATGCCATCCTCTTTGAACGCGTTGACTGTCGGTCTGTGTTGCGCATACTTGGTTACTACCCTGCTGGCTGGACAGCATCACCGAGCTCACTGGATGCAGGCAGAAATCTCCTCTACTGAATTTTTTTCTCCTAGTAAAGGCGATCTGGGGAGGGACTAACAATGTTTCAATTAATTCCTGGCCAGACGATGGGGGTTGGCCCGTAGCAGTAGAGTCGTCACCTGTCTGACTGGTGAGCCATGTTTGGGTTTAGAATCGTCCATGAAACTGCAAGAATGTAGCTTGTTACTATTCTTACTCTTGTTTGATTAGTGATAGACTTGAAAATGAGGTGCATGCAGAGATATTATAGCCCCCCCAAGAGATTTCAAACAAACAGCTGTTTGTTTGGCGCCCCATTTATCCAAGCGCCCCCTTTAGTATTGCACCCCTATACTTAGAACACAGTGTGTACCCACTTTTTGCGTCACTGGTTAGGTATAACATTTTGATTGGAAATGCAACAAATTCAACCAAGAAACCTTAATAGATTAAAAAAAATATATTCCTAATGTTGTAAAAAGAAAAAAAAATATTTATCAGTTCTAATCATGCTTCTTGTAGCCAACAGATCCAATTTACATATAGAAACATATAAGCAGCTCAGTCCAATTACAGACTGGTTCAAATTCCTTTACATATGTCCCATTCCTAAGTACAGTGAAATAAAATTCAGCTCATGCAGCAGATATTGCACAGAGTTATTAACTTTGCAGCAAGTTCTCATACTGAGCATGAGAACGTACAAAGCAAATTTATATGTTAAAGGTAGTCTTTTAAAACTAAGTTTTCAGGGAGATTAAAGCTTATTTACCACTTTAGCAATTAATAAGCCAGAAGCTCCCACTGTTTTTTTTTTTTTTTTTAAGTCATAGCTCAGAAGCTAATCATTTACACTTGCTTTTGATCTTCTGCTTGACTTAGGGAAAACATTACCAGCTTCAGGCTGGTTGATTTATTTTAATGAGGTTGATAAATCTACATTTTAATTTGATGCTGTTTAGATTAATAAACGGCATCAATTTCTTTTTTGCTTTTTTCGAAATGGTGTAGGAGCCAGGTTTCAGTCAGCTGATGGGCCATGTGCAGCAACAGGTGGTGGAAGGGTAGTACTGTGTGAATCTTGCCCCGTATATCCCTAGAATGAAGTGATGTTTAGCTAGTTTTGGATTGAAATGATGGAGAATCTAATCGGATCAGCTGTTTGAATGGTGGTGTGTGTTTGGTTCTGATACAGAAAGAAGAGGTCTTAAATGGCTGTTTCAGCCCACATTTGTCCAGTTTAATCAAGTGCTCTTTATGTAGTCGGTATCTATCGTCTGTCTCCAATAATTAAGGCTTTTTCCCACTAAACCGATGTTGAGATACACTGGCAATAAAAGCCTCCCATGAGGATGGAGGAGTGGAGGCTTTTGGCTTGCTTTGATTTTAGCAGAAATCAGAATCTGAACCCTTGGAGACGATATCCTCAAGCGTGCAAGACCAACGGACTCTCTAGTGATAAGAAAACGGGGGAAGAAAGTACATTATTTGTTGATTATAAGATAAGAGAGGAGCATCTATGTAAATGGATACTGAGGAATCTATAGTTTTAATTAAAGCAACTGTACATTTTTGCCTTCAGTTAACATTTGATGACAAAGCATTAAAAGGAACCGAGTTGGTCGACACGCTGAGGTCAAAAGGTCAAAGTTGGGATTTTAGCTTTTTAAGTACACTACCTTATTGATTCAGTGTGTTCAATTTGAATAGTTGAACCAGTTGCCAACATAAAAAACATCTGAGGAATCTCCCTTTTATCCTAAACAGTAAACCATTGGTGTTTCTTGTTTACTTATTTGCTATCAAGATTTGTATCAAGAATTTCAAGGGGAAAAAAAAGCAGTTTATGCTGAATATGTGGAAACATTTGTTAGCTATAAGGGTGGACTTAGAATTTTATCATTTTTCTGGGTGCTATTGTGATTAAAAATAAAACTGATGATGGAAAAATTGTCTTTTTTAGGTAACCGTGTGACTATGAAAGCATAGCACAGCAATCATGGCGCCACAAATACCACTCTTGAAAAATCATTTTCAAATTTGCTGCTAGTTATTGATGTTCTTGTTGAACAAATAGTGAATAAAATAGTAAAAAAAAAAATCATATTGTTGTTAGTCAAAACAAAATTATTTAAAATTTATCGAGACAACAAGAAACCAAAATTCTTATTCTAATACAAAAGTTTCACAAAAAATGATAGACAATGCAAAAAATGTACACTCTTAGTTATCAAATTTGTGCTACAAAAGTAATATTTCTTATGATGGCAGTATTAATTTTGAGTTTTAGGGGAATTTCAATCTGATATGTCAGACTTGGAACTCTGTGTACAAATAAAATGCCTCAGAAAACAGGATAAACTGAAATATGAATTTTAATAATAGGATGTAATCCTATAACCTAAGCTTAATTTTCTATAAGAACAACAAATGGATCCATGGAAATGTGTTAAATCACTGCTTTGATTACTCTTTATTCACTTTGGCTCCAAAATAATCATAAAAAATACCATGAAATGTCACAAGATTACACATTTAACATGCATCAGTCAACTCAAGCGACTTTGGCCAGTTCACCAACACTTTGCCCCTTCCTGTAACCAAACAATTTCAACATTTTTTATTATTATTAAATGCCATAGACTTACAGTAAGTGCTGTTTATGGAATGTTCAAAAGCAGCAGTATGTCTGGCGGCTCGGATGCTGGAACAGTAAACTACACTTCCTTTAATAATAAGCCCTCTTATGGTTCAGACTCGGGCCAAAACCCTGGCTGCAGGTTCCTGTTGTAAAGACTTCAAGGCAAGTTGCGGACGGAGATAACGGCGTGACTGACGGAAACAACAAAAGGCCGGTCTTTCGTCAGACATTCAGCCCAGGAAGGACAAAGTGTGCTTGCCGTGTTTCCACAGAGGGACACAGTTGACCCCACACTGTCCCTGCTTACATTAGAAAACGCATATTGCCCAATGTGGCAGCAACAACCTGAGTTTGCCAAACTTTTTTTTTCCTTTTAAGCCATTTCAGCTGTCAGCTAAGCACAGCAGAATAAAGGGATGCATCAAAGGTGAAAATGGGATCACAAGCCGGGTATTTCTGCACAGCAGGACCACTGCTCGTCTTCGACATTAAACGGACCAAATGTGCTGAAGTTCTGTTTCTGGGAACTGCCTGGGTCGGCACGGGCCCGCGCGTTTGATCGATGCTTCGGCTCGGCTGCCTCGCATCCGTCAACGCCTCTTCACTCGCAAGACTCAGCTGCTGACGTTCCACAAAAAAAAAAAAAAAAAAAAAAAGAAAGGGGGCATTGTCCCCCCGCCGCTTTGTGAACCCGGGCCAGACCCTTCCAACCGATGCACCATTTCAAGTTTAATCATTGGAGCTTATTGATTTCTCTGAGAGAGCAACAACCTCTGTGCCGTAGGGAGGGAACGGCCTGTTTGTCCTTTTATTCGTCCGTGTCATGATTTTTGCCGTAAATGCTGCCGGCCTGTCAGATTTGTCATCTTCATATAGCTGTAGATGTGCGGGGCCAGAAGGGACGCAGGAGGCAGGTCATAGGTTTGTTCAGCACTTGTGTTGACGTGGAGTCGATAGTGGAGAGCTGGAGGCAGGATTTGGTAACTAATCCCACTGTGAGTGATCTCATTACACCTCTAACAGGTATGAGAATGTTGCTTTGGAAGTCCAAGAAGACCATTCACAAGTGGCGCGTCACACACTTTTTTTACTTGTTGAGTTAAATTTTGTTTTTTCATAGATGGCTTAAATTTTCTCCGGAGTAGGAATCTACATAATTGTAGTATCAGACTGCTGATGGAGACTACATACTTTCCATCAACGTCCATTGCTTTTTGAAGAATTTTGAATTAATACAAGTTGCAACATTTCATTTCCCTTTGGGATCAATAAAGTACTTTTTGAATTTCAAATCAAATTTGCGCTGAATGTTATTAGGAAATAATTTGATCAGAGCTGAAACGATTAATCGACTCGATTGTGATTAATCGATTATGGAAATAACAAGAAAAACAACTTTTGCTATTAAAATTAATCCAAAATAAACAGATTAGTTGACAGTAAAATATATATTTTTTGCTGTAGATGCATCCTTTGCTAAAAATGATCAAATGCACACTTAACTATAACATTTTACGAAGCAAATTTTTTTTCTTTTTCAAAAAAGCAGTTTAATTATTTTCTTATTTGATCTCTTAATGTATTTCTAATGTTGTGTAAAAAATAAGGCTGAAGTGGTTACATAAAAAACATTTCCTTTTATCCGATTAATCGATTAATCATCTGAATAATGTTACTTAAATAATCATTAGTTGCACTCCTACGTTTGATTGCAATATTATTGATGACGGCATAGATTACATTCACTTTGTTTTGCATAAATTCAAGCTTCTCCCTTCTCTCTGTTAGCTTTAGCCTCCACTTAAAGTCCTTCCAATTGGCCAGATACACTAACAACACACACAGTTTCAGAACAAAATATTGCATCAGTGTGCTCCTTTGAGATGTAACACACGTTGAGAACTGAAATAGGGAGTGTTATTTGCTACGTTTCTTGGTCTGGATCCACATTTGAATAGCACCACCTTATGATTGTGCAAACAGGACTTCCTGTATCTAATCTCGGTACTTTACGGTCTCCTGTAGGTATTTACCAAGTAAGGCAATGCTGTGCTGATGATGTGACTCTCGTCTTCCTGCTTTTGGTTCCTTGTAAACATAGTCATTAAATTTAGTATTTCCTTCCAAACAATACTTGCATCTTTTAAAGGAAAAACATTAGTCTTGCTAGAGTTGCTGCTTTTGGTAGTAAAATAACTTGGTTTTACCCAGACATTTTGACTCTCACCAAAAACATTTCTTCTACATTAAACAAGCAAGAAGACCAAAAGAA